AAAACGGTAACCTGGTTGCCGAGTTCACGAAGTGAACTGGCTTGTTTCACTACATCGTTGCCAAGCGACGATAACCCAACCCCGATGGCAAACACCGAGGGGGACGGCTTGTTTTACAACGTCGTTGCCAAGCGACGAAAACCCAACCCCGATGGCAAACACCGAGGGGGACGGGAGGGGGGGGCAATCAAAAGCATTGTTGCCGACGCCCGTACTGCGAAAAAAAAACGCCGGCGGCAACAAGAAAATCAAACAGTAGTCGGAGGGTGTACCAACGTTTGCGGCTGAACAGCGACCCAACACACGCAATACGCTGCAACACACCGCATTCGATCTACCTAGAAAGCCAGATAATGTCCTTCTTGTGCTTCTTGCGGTACGCGAAGCTCGTGGTGAGCTGCCGCTTGCGCACCGTGTGCCCGATCTCCAATTGAGGCTGGTCGTTGACGTCCTTCGTCCCGACAGATCCACAGTCCGCCTCCGGCTCCGTCGCCAACGTGGCCCCCACCCCAGCACTGCTAATCCAGTTCGTGTTCTCCACCAGCTGGTCCATGCCGTCGAAGGTGTGCAGCATGTTGTGCAAGATGCAGCACGTGAAAAACACGTTGTCGATGCGCTCCTGGCTCTGGTACGCCATGGCGAGCTTCAGGATCCTAAAGCGACCCTTCAGGATGCCGAAGAAGCATTCCACGTCCTTGCGTACGCTCTCCAGCCTCTTTAAAAAGAGCAGGTCGTTCTCGCTCAGCGGGTACTTGGAGGGCTCGATCAGGATTTGCCACTGGAAAAACGCGACAGAGAGAGGGAAGGCGAAGACGGGTTCGGTGCTACGTTGTTAGAAGCTGTGAGGGCAATCGAGGTTTTGATTGCCGTATCCGACATCTCAATACCATGAACGGTTTGCGTTGAAACGGTCCGAAACTAGCTGCTGCGTCATTTTCCCTGACAACAAAGACTTTGCTGGCCAGCGCTCTCTCTTTTTCTGTCTGTCTGTCTACACTCTCTGTCTCAGGCCGGACACATGTCTCGTCCAAACAATTGTTTTGACCACTCAAGCACACGGTAATAATTTACATGCACCTTGTGGTAACCGTTGTCGACGAGCAAGTAGCACCCCTTGAGCGTCGTCGTCGTGCCGTCCTCATTGTACACGTCGAACGTCTTCTCCGTGTACTGCTTGTCCGTCCGAATCTTCTCCACCGCGGCATCCCAGCAGACGATGGTCTTGTCGTTCGTCGAGCCGGTGAAACCCTCCGT